TGAAGAATATTAGATTTACCTATTGATGTTATTTGTGGTATTCTGGCCAGAAAAGTTTTATCCTTCTCAGTATCAACCTTCTTCTTTCCCAGTCTTCCATTAGCCTTTGGTATGTCAATATCAACCTTCTTCTTTCCTAATCCTCCATTGGCATTTGGTCTCTCAATATCAAACTTCTTCTTTCTCAATTCTTTATTGGTCTTTGGTTCGTGAGTATCAACCTTCATCTTTTTTAATCTTTCATTGGCATTTGGTTCGTGAGTATCAACCTTATTCTTTATTAATCTTTCATTGGCATTTGGTATATTAGTATCAACCTTCTCCTTTCCTAATTATCAAATGGGCTTTTGTCCGTCAAGCCAAACATTATCTTTCTAGACCTTCAAAAGTCGAAGATGAGAGTGCTTAACACGTACGAAATTCTCATTTGTAGTCCCGTAACCAATAGTAACTGTGTAAGGCCTATCAAAGTTAATTTTTTTGACAACTCATGGACGCCATGTAAAACCACGAAACACCTCTACATTCTGCATCAATGTGAACACTTGAACCTGGAAAATACAGTTAAAGCTTTGTGAGAGTCTAACGTAGTGAGATGATTGTACGTCATAAAATTTTAGTCGTCTCTAATTAAGCTGAAACCATAAACGCTTTTTTAACAAACATAAAATTTTTTTTTGAACTTTTGAATTGTGAAATATATTGAATCACATATTTAATTAATATTTACATTTAACATACTTATTAACAAATTATGAGAACAAATGACAAAACTAAACATTTAGTTACCTATTGTTATATATAAGGTATATTATATCATAATTTTTCATAAAATGTTGCACACGTTATGTAGAAAATTAGGATTTTCGATTATTTTCATGAGATGAAAGCATCCAACATAAACACAACCTACAATGCATTATGAGATAAAATAGATAGTTTCTTAAGGTTTAATTTTCATCGGTATAGAAGTTACTGAGATCAGTAGTGTCCATGAAATGGTGAAATTAATATATATCAAATTTACTTAAATTTTTGAAATTTTCAAGCAATATTTACATGTTAAGATCACTACATTTTAAAAAAATTACTAAATATTTGAATTCATGATGCGGAGAAAAATTAACATTTCGAATTTTCTAAGAATGAAAAAGAATTTCTTGTTTATTTTTTCTCAATGGATAATTTTTTTAAACTAGCTAAAATAAATAATGATAGATAACATATTTTAATATAACTGACATCATGATCATTTAAGATTAAATCTTGATCAATGTGCTAAAGTAAACGAGTATGACATTTTTCCTACAAATAAAACTAAAATCTATGATTTGTTTTAGAATTTATTATTCAATACCTTTCTAATGCTACATAACCAAACATGCAAAACATTATATTAGTGAACAAGAGTAATCAACACATGATTCACATAAAATTAGTATTCAAAATAAGAAGAATAGTTTTTTTCTTAAAATGTGAGTAAATCTCTTCTTCATTTATTTTCATTAAATTATATAAGATGTTCCAATAATTATTTAAAACTATTGATAAATTATACAACTATACATGATTATGAGAAAATAATTAATTTAGACAATATGTACAAATATGTAAATAAAAAGTAGAGAAATTTTGAAAAATACCACTTTTGAAGTGCCACTTTTCAAAAATGTCACATTTTCAAAATCTTTACAAAAATTTCATTTTTTCAAAATTATTTATTCATTATATTATTTATGTTTGGGTTAACTATATTGTATTAGGTTTTAGGGTTATTAAAACCTAAATTATTAATAAACTATACGTCAATATGATTTTTTTCAACTTACGACTTGATGCACATATACTAAAATTAAAATGATTTTACGAAACAATGTAATAATACTATTATATTGAGACTTCTTCAGATTTTTACTCATAAGTCATAATAGATATTTTACACATTATGCATATATTAATTCTCATTAACGTAATATAGTTAAAAGAAGAATTAACTAAGAGAGGATATCAACAATAACGCATGATCAGAAGAAGTGAGTAATTGGTGAAAACAAAGAAAAATCGAGAAAGCAACGAATATTTTGTTAAGAACTAATCAACAAAAATATATAGATTTTATCATCTATTTATTTACATTTTCTCTATTCTCTTATATTATCAAATATACATTTAATATTTGAAATCATCATTACCTGAAATCTTATCTTAATAACTTGATGAGACGATGTAATTGTGCGTTAAATTGCACCAACAATAGCACCAACAAAAACAAAAACATTGAAATAGACGTTGCTGCTTTGCGGGACCATTAAAATATTAACTGGAAAAATTTAAATTTATATCCCTTATAATTCAACGTTTGAATTTTTCTTATATATTATATATCTACCAGGGGCGGATCTACGCTCATCAAAATGGGGAGAGTTGTAACCATTAAAAATTTAAGATCCTTTAAGATTTATGAGAAATCAAATTATTTGTACCAATTGAAAAAATATTTCTTGCCCCATTAAAATTTATTGTCCAAACAACCAAATTTACGTTAACCATGGAAAGATACTCAATATTCTTTATGCGTTTTTCCTTTAATTTAGCTTATTCCTTCCAAATTTAAATTCAATCTAAATAGTTTGCCCTGCACTGTGCAGAGGTATGAACTTTCGTAG